CTGTGTCTGAGATCCAAGCAGAGCTGCATGGACCTCCAGCTATAAACTGTCCTTTTTCCCTTCCTCCTTTGCACCTCAAAAGAGACCAGCACGAAACCAAGACAACGCATTTCTACTCCAGATGCAATTCAGGTTGGCAGTCAGACTTCAGAATGGACCTGGGTTGCTGCTCAGAAAGAGGTTGTCACTCAACCCCATGACCAAAACCTGCTATTCCCAATAAAGTTCTAGATAAACATCAAAGCATTAATCATGAGACCCCATCAAAACAAGTCTGCGCCAGCACTGCATTCCAGTGATATTACTCATGTTTCTCTGATCCCTATATTGCAGTGCTGGCGCATTAACATTAAAACAACTTACCAGCATTCAGCAGTCTTTTCAATCACAAAATCAATCAGGTTGGAAGAGACCTCTGGGATCATCGAGTCCAACCTTTGCCCTAACACCACCATGTCAACTAGACCACGGCACTAAGTGCCACCTCCAGTCTTTTCTTAAACACCTCCCTGGGCAGCCCATTCCAATCCCTAACAACCCTTCCTGTGAAGAAATGCCTCCTCATTTCTAGCCTGAACTTCCCCTGGCAGTTTCAGACTGTGCCCTCCTGTCCTGTCACAAGTTGTCTGGGAGAAGAGGTCGATCCCCACTTCGCTACAACCTTGTTTCAGGTTGTTGCAGAGAGCGACCAGGTCTCCCCCTCAGCCTCCTCTTCTCCAGACCAAACACCCCCAACTCCCTCAGCCACTCCCCATCAGACTTGTGCTCCAGACCCTTCACCACCTTCATTGCCCTTCTCTGGACTCACTCCAGCTCCTCAAGGCCTGTCTAGTAGTGAGGGGACCAGAACTGAACACAGTACTCAAGGTGCGGCTTCATCAGTGCTGAGTACAGGGGGAAGAACATATTGCTGCCCATTTTCAAACACATTTTACTGTAGTTAGAATGCAGTATTGCAGCCTTTTCCCCGCTGCCCAGGTTTGGGTTTACTAGGCAAAAAGAGGAGCATCTTTCCCTTCACATGCTTACTAGCAGCACCCAGTGTAGTGCATGATCCCCTATCACATGGAGGGTTGTTGTTGGGCAGCTCCCTTAGAAGACATTGCACTGCCCTGCCGCCATCTGATAAAAGAAACGCTTGTATTACTCCTAACAAACATGATCAGTGAAACAGTAAACCGTAAGTAGTCTTAAATAGCAGTTGCATGACAAATAGTCTCCTCAGGATGCCAGTCAATAGACAAAAATCTTTCTGTGCATCGTCACATGAATCAGAATGAAAAAAAGAACTTGAAAAAGTATCTAAAAAGATCTACTTTATGTCTCAGAAACAAACTTTCATCTTGTTTTTTGAAGTTTTCACATACTTATCTATACTAAGACCTTTGTATATCCCTGCAGATACTGCACTGGAACTGCAAGTGGGTGCAGATGACATTGTCTCACTTCTGCGCTGTACTAAAGTGGCCATTGTGAGAAGCAGGCTGGAACTCCATGGAAGTCAGAAAGTGGCTGTGAGCACACAAGCACGGGACTGACTTCAGGTTTTGTTTTATGGTAACCAGGACTTTTTGTTTGTTTGTCTCCTGCTTACAGGTAGAGCAGGACAAATATAAAACTCTGAAGAGAAATTTAAAGATAACTGATCTGTTTGAAAGAGATTCATGCAGCAAGTGTGTTACTACCAGCCAACAGAGATTAAAAAGGGCATGGGTTTGTCTGGGTCAAGTTTAATTACGACCTGGGGCTGCTGATGGGACTCTTACGTTCAGTTTATGTAACAGACACCCTTACTAGCTCCTCTGCGATCACTGCACCTCAAATTAATGCAAGGACAAACTCCTTTTCAATCAATCAAGCTATTATCTCTTCCATTTCAGTTATGTCAATGTATGGAAACAGCAATTTCATTTTCACACCAAGATACACTCTTAATGTTAGTGCAAATCATTCATTGCCACATACTGACGTGAAAGAGCCAACCCTATTCATTCAGGTTCAGCTCTTCTCCTCCTGGGACCACAGCATAAAAGCCGTGGCCCCGCTGTGCATCAGGTAATCTAGAACTTGTAATTACTGTCACTGCAATTTCAAATACTTGAATTCTTTATCATAGAAGAAATAGATCCGATGCTTGAATTACAAAACGCCCATAAATTTGTCCACACCACATTCTTAACCAATGCATCAAATTTGAAATACCATACTTTACTTATTTGTTATATAAAGCAAAATAAAAATATACAAAGTCTCTACCATTCCAGTTGTTGGCTTCCATCTACATTTTACATTAAAACAGCCTTAGAAGAGTTCATACGGATCATTGTGAAAACCAAATGGCACACAGCCAAACCACAACATAGTGCAAAAGTAGGCCAGTCATCTGCATAGAACCTGCTGTCACTAAAATCGATGACTAAAGTGTTGTGGAATATTTTGCTTGATTCTAGTTAGAAATGCAGAACAACACTGCAGTCACTGCACAGAAAGATGGGATTTAATGCTCTAGGCAAGAAGCTGATGTTTTCTTAAAAGACAGAAATGAGTCACTATAAAGAATGTTATTTCTAAAAGCCTGATGGTAATCCCCAAATTGATGCATCTCATGCACGCAATTAAAATACAACATTTTTCAAAAGCAGTATTCAAATTACAAGGAAATTATTTCTGTAATTGTTGCTTTGCAGACTGGTTTAAAGAGGCTTTTCTGCTCTTACAGCAATGACAGTCAGTCTGTAGGAATACTAATGTTAAGTTTAATTTCCCTTTTTTATGTACACTAGTTGTTAGTTTTATACTCTTGATAACTTTCAGCTTGTAAATATATTTTTAAAGATAAGAGGAATGATCAAAAAGAGATGAAGTGTTATCACATCATTTCCAGTTCCCTCATTTCAAGCTTTGCTGCATGAACTGAAAGGTATAATTGTCTTCTGCCTGTAAAGACAGCTGGTATGTACATGCAAATGAGGGTCACCGTAATTTCCATAAGAGACAGAACTACTGTTGCCTTGGACATTGGTTCTTTCACAATAACAGTCTAAAGTGTTGGTGGGAAAACAAGATAAACCAAAAATTATTTATAAGTAAATCAAAACCTTGTGAGGAAACATGAAAAAGTCTGTTTCCTGGAAAACAGGTCTCAAAAGTAATTCCACGTTCTTGAAGTTTGCCACTTAAAATTTCTTTCCATCATAGCACCACCATAAAGAAGAAAGTCTAATTACTGATGCTGCGATTTAAAGCTTTGCTTTCCCAGTTGTTTATAAGCTGTCAAATGTCGATAGCAAAAAAAACAATGTGCTTTTTATATAGTATAAATCTGAAAGTAGTAATGACCTCAAATTGTAAAACTTTAGATAGGGATGTCTGAAATTAAATCTAAGACAACAGGTGGAAGGAATTTAAAACACAAAAAAAGATTCAGCTCTCTTCACAGGGGGCTGGTCTCCTTCAGAGGAGGCTGGCTTTTTTTGTGTTAAAAACTTGAATTCTCATTTCCAAGACTGAAATTGGGGATTTCTGTTCAAGACTGCCAAAGAATGAAAGTATTCTTGTGATTTGAATCTGGAAAATAATATTAATGCTTCATCTGAGTATTTCAAACTCTTGGAGTTGGCTGCTGTGCAAAAAGGTCACTAATTTTAATTTCCGTTTCCAGACAGGTTCATTCATCAGTATTACTGTGACATCAAGCAGAGTTGAATGTGCACAAAGAAAGCAACTATGAATGCAAATGATTACAAGTTATATAATTTTAAAAATCTACACTATAAAACAAGATAGTCTTTTTATGCAAAACAGTTATTGATGGCTTAACTGTTTTCTTACATGTGACTTTTAAATCATGTCATTGTTCCCTTCATAAACCATACTATTTTGTTTAGTTTTCATAAAAGCACAAAAAATTCTCATTGCATTTTTTGCAAATAACTCAGGTACATGTGTGGTTACTGTGCTCATGCGCTTACAACAGACCTCCATTCAAAACAAACCTGATTATAGATTCAGCTGTTTTAATCTTGTAACAGATGCCTGTACAGCACGTTCTCTGTATTTTCTTAGTTCTACAGTTTTCTTAAGTGAAAAAAAAAAAAAGGAATATATTGTTGAGTTTCCTCTGTGTACATATGTAGTATGTGGCAGAGGCCTTCTTTATTTGTCAACACATTAGCTTTATATAGAAACTTCAGATGAGAGGGAAGAAAAAGGGGGGAAAAAACCTCAAAGCGCAGGGAAATATAACCATCTATTCACACTATTTCATTTGTAAAATCTATATTCATATGCCTTTGTGAGAGGATGCAAGCTGCTGAACAGCCAAGGCAAAAGAATGCTTTCCTGAATGGTCACCTTATGTAGCCCAAGCACAGCCTGCCACAGCTACCAAATTCTCTTCTCCATTTTATACTGCCTTTTCAAGTCATTAAGATTTTTCTCTTCTCCTCTTTCCTCTTTCTGAAGGGGAAATTGATTCCTTTCTGTAGTGTTGTCCATCTGTACTTGCATGGCTTTTTCCTTTTTGTACTAAGCAAACCCTCATCGCTGCCTCAGTCTAACACCAGGTGCAGCTCTCAAATATTTACAGTCCCCCAGAACAGTGCCTAGCACAAGAAAACCCCAAACAGGATCACAGATACAGAATGCTTCGCATCTGAAAGATCTATTTACGCAGAGAGCTGGTCTGCCTACAACAGTGCAGCTCTTAGCATTTTTCAACAAGAATAATTTAAGGTATCGAGCCTTTTCCTGCAGGATTTAGACAAAGGAGAAAAGCAGAAAGAAAAACTTCAGAGTTACGCACTTCCTTTACTGGCAGTACTGCCAGGCTGACGCTGAATAAGGAGGCTACCCTCATTAATGAAATGTGACTGTGTTTGTAAGATCAGGCCTTTGATTTTAAAACTGTCAGCACAAGTAAAGACAATGGTACATTCAAATATTTTAAATATATTTTCAAAGACTCTCTGAGAAAAAAAGCCTTAATATACATCACTCACCTGAAAAGACATTGGGAAATGTCTCTGTAGAAGCCTGCACCCCTGAGGACTTTCTTGAATGAGTCAAAGGCACTCTTT